ACAGTTCAGCAAATGTACAATTTATTCAGTAGCAGTCCTCTAAAACGGGAAATTCTAAACAACATATCTTTGGTTCGTTGCATGGAATGTCCAAAACAAGGTGGTCAGCACGGATTGATAGTGTTAAACAAGTTACACAACATTTGAATTCAGTAAAAAGTGCTTTAAATGAACTTAAAGTGCTACATTTATCAGCCCAGGCTAAAATCGAACACAATACTTTTAAAAAGTATATTTCCAAATTTGATTGCATTTTGATGTCGTCTATCTGGATGTAGCTACTCACAAAGGTTCATCAGACAAATTTAATCATCAAGGCACATTATGTTACTCTTGATGTTGAAAAGATATCATTGAAAATCTATGTTATGACATTCAAAGAATGTGTGAACAATTTGATAAGATTTTAACTGAGTCAAAATTTGTTGCAAGAAACATTGGTGTGTGAGTTTTTAACTAATCGTTTTTTTTCAAGTCAAGATGATGCCAAGCTGTATTTTAAAATTAATGTATATTTTTTCATCATTGACTCGATTCTACCTGGCCTTACGCGACGATTTCATTCGGTGCAACAAATTTGTAAGTATTTTGGATTTCTTTCGCAGTTTGAATGACAAAGATTTTGTATTTGCGGCTCAACAATTTTAGCGCAAGTATGACAAAAAAATCTCGAAAGAACTTGAAAATGAGGTTTTATTTCTTAAAAGAATCTTTGGTATTAATTCAAACTAGATTGCACAGCAAATATATTACTGGTTGAAATTCTAGGACTTAGTCTTTTAGTTGTCCTTTGGAACATTACAATTGCCATACGCATTTTTATCAGCTTGCCTGCATTGACGGCATCGGGCAAACGCATATTTAATATTTTAAAGCTGATAAAAAGTTATCATCGTTCAACTATGGGGCAGGAACTGTTGAATGGACTTGTTATGCTGAATATAAATTGCGATATTGCACGAAAACTAGATTTTTCAAATAAAATTGCTGCATTTTTAGAACAAAAATCACGAAAAGCATTTGTGAAAATTAAATAAAACTTATTCATTCTGTTTTAATTACATTAAGTGAATTAATTTAAATTCCATTTTTAAAATGTGACTTTAATTTAACTTTTCATATAAAGTGATTTGTAAATAAATACATATTGAAAAAAGCCAATAATTAAAAGTTAATGAACAATTATTTATTTATTATATATAAATTGGTGAAATCTGAATTTTAACAATCACAATAATGTGACAGTATAACACTCCACCCGCACAGTTGTACTTTTCCAACTACCAGGCCTCCCTAAGAAATGTGTAGTTAGTAGACTGGCGCATTGCTTGGTTAGTTGGCTTCATAAAACGTACAAAAAGCGTCACATCTGTGAGTGACGGTCTGTCTAATTAATTGCATTTATTCTGAAAGTGATACATTTATCTGGTCCCGAACTATCTAAAAACTTAAATGGCTTTTCTTTAAACTGCGTCGCGTTGTGCGCAAATCTTCTTTTTTAGGACCTCTGATTTATAACTGACCTCTTCAAACCTCTGTAAGTTCTTGCATACTTACATACATACATATAAGTACATACATGAATTTATGAGATTACATATGATATCAAATATATGAGAGTGTATATAAAAAAAATTGTGAATAAAAATTGAGATCTGTAACAGGTATTAAATGCAAATAAAAGTATCTATGTTTTTTGAAAAGAGATATAAACTTCTGCGCTCAGATAATTAGATTATATATTTTCTAAAGTATAAACAAATCACGCTCAACCTGGAACGTTAAATTTTTTAGAAAAGCACCATGGTAGGAAATTAGCTAGCGACTTGCGCGCGAACAGCTAGCTTTATGGCAATTTTCAAATAATTTTTTTTTCTTTTTGAATTTTTTCCTAATGTACTTAAAATCTTTTAAAATTCGGTTTCTAGTGTAAACATTGCGATATTGCAGCAATGTATCGCTAGCTACATATCGTAGTTTTATGGCTAGTTACAAAATATCTACAAATCTGTTGCCGGTTAATAGCTACATATCAAAATTTTTTAGACAGCAATTTTATTACGATATGACTACAGCTACAACAGCCAGTGGGTTTTTAACATATTAAGCTTCCTCTCCTTATAGCCAAATTGCTGTCTTTATCTTTACAAATAGCGATAGTTTTTCGCTAACTCAAAAAAGCTTGCAATCCTCGCAACCGTATCGCTGTCTATATTGTTACGATTATAGCTAGGTATTCGCTAATAGATTTTCCACCGGGAGAACTTTAAATTTTACTTAAAGTTTTCCCGGTGAAAGAGTTAAAGGTGGTGATTTATATAGAAATGTATACAAATAAACGGTCATCAAACTAAAAATGTTGATTTTTACAAGCCGTTGCCATTTAAAAGAAAAAAAATTCTTAAAAATATTTACTGCGCTTATTTATTCTTAAAAATATTTACTGCGCTTGCGTGTAATAACTTATCGCTTCTAAATGACTGTGAAATGTGATTAAGCGCTGGTTTAATTTCTTCTATAATCTTCCACAATAAGTTTATTGTAAATAATAACAGAATACCTATTATTCTTTTTGTGTTCTTTCATGTTGTTTAGTAAATTTTTTCTTACTTTGCGTGTTGCAGGAATAATCTTCATATATATAAATTCCCAATCCTTTGATTTTATTTTCTGCTTGTAACACCCTTACTTTCCTTTTATAGTGAAATAATTTGACAACTATGGTTCTGTTCTTGTTTTTTTAATTTTTTTCAATTCTGTGCGTTCTTTCCATGTTGACATTGCTAAGACGTAGATTATTATCAAAAAAAATTTAAACATTTCTTTCTCTAGCATCCCAATTTTCAAGTTTGTTTTCGATAACTCCATTAATCCGAATGTTATTTTTTGTTAGTCTGATCTCCAACTGTATTATCTTACTTTTGACCTCCACCTTCGATAACTTTATTACTTTTACTTTTTATCATTTTTTCTAATTTACTTAGAAAATTTTCTTGAACTTTCTACGTGACATTTAATCCTTCTTCATTATCTTTATTCAGTATTAAAACCTCCTTCAATTTATTATTCAACATCTAATCTTAGAAAAGGACTTTAATTATAACCGAATATGAACAAAATGGCAAATATTAGCTTATTTTAGTGCAATATTTCAAACTTATGTTTTTATACGAATCTTAACCAGCATATAGTTCTCTATCATATTCAGCAATTAAAAAATAAGGGAGAAATGGAAAGAAACTATAGTAGCGCCGAGTTTCATAATGTAGATAAAAAACTTGTAGGATAACAGAGGGTAAGTAAAGTATAATTATGATATTTAAAGTTTTAAAGACAATGTTTAATGATTGTAATTGTAGTTAATGTTGTTCATTAAATGGTGAAAAGCTGTTACTTAAAGACAATTTACAAAATAATAATGGGTTATCATATGAGTTAGAAATCTTTCAAGCCTTAAAACAATTTTAATTTCTCCTGGAAAACCTGTTGCTGTTGTAGAGTTGAATGCTATTGTCGTTTTAAAAAAAATAGAAAAATGTCATAAATCTTTGTGTACTTTTGCATCAATTACGAATATGCCACCAAGTTTTGTCCTACGTCATATTCTGTTTGCGGCAGTCTGATAAACTAACAAACTTACTTAAATTCAAAACAAAATTAGGCCTTTATTTAGCTATTCACAAAAATTGAAATCAATTTTCAGAAATTTTTATCTAATCAAGATTAACTAAAAAAGTGTCTTTGTAAAATACAAAACACTGATGAAAGCTTGAATGGTATTTGAAAAAGATAGTAAGGATATATATATATATATATATATATATATATATATATATATATATATATATATATATATATATATATATATATATATATATATATATATATATATATATATAATTTTGCTAAGTGATTTTCTTCTACTATATAATTGCTCTGTTCTTTTAAGATCAATAAGCACTTTATATTATAGAATACATTTAAAAAATGTATATATATATATATATATATATATATATATATATATATATATATATATATATATATATATATATATATATATATAAATGTATATATATATATATATATATATATATATATATATATATATATATATTATATATATATATATAGATATATATATATATATATATATATATATATATATATATATATATATATATATATATATATATATATATATATATATATATATATATATATATATATATATATATATATATATATATATATATATATATATATATATATATATATATATATATATATACGTAACAACACATTTACATATGTATATATATATATATAATATATATATATATATATATATATATATAAATGTATATATATATATATATATATATATATATATATATTTATATATATATATATATATATATATATATATATATATATATATATATATATATATATATATATATATATATATATATATATATATATATATATATATATATATATATATATATATATATATATATATATATATATATACGTAACAATACATTTACATATGTATATATATATATATATATATATATATATATATATATATATATATATATATATATATATATATATATATATATATATATATATATATATATATATATATATAAAGAATAAATATGTAAGCAGCGGTACCGTGCACACTGGCTTAGTCAGTAAGATTATTTTCCTAAAAATATGCTATGTTTGCCAAAAAGCACATAAAATTTTCTGAAAAACCATAGCTTTTTGAGAAAAAGCAATGTTTCTTTTAAAAAAAAAACACCCAAAAAAAAAAAAAAAAACACATTAGGGCCCCAATTAATATGGTTACCTAACAATTTTAACGTTACCGTTCATAAGAGTAAAAACAATCAAATTAACGCTTAAATTCAATTAGATATTCTTTATAATTGTTAAATTGATACAGAGTTTACAAGTCTAGAGTTTCTTTAACTAGTGTAAATGTATTACGCAGATAAAAAAAGTCGCAAATCACTAAAAAAAAGAGTTTGCGTTTTTGTGTTTGTTTTTATGCTTGCAAGCTCAATTATTATGCCTTCATAATTTAATTTTCTTGCAACCTCGTTTTCAATTGACAGCAATGCTAAAGAAGACAAACGTTCATCGACCATTGCTGACCTATTTAAAGATATAATTAATTATATCTACAGGTATTTATGTATAATTAAGCAAAATTATTTATACTAACCTATGAAACTTTTCAATTAGTTTTAACTTGCTGAAGCTACGTTCTGCACTTGCAACAGTGACTGATAAAGGAAGAATGATACGTAACGCATTACCTAGATTGGGATAAGTTTCTTGCAACTCTTCTTCGTATATGTAGTTTAGGAAATCATGTGCAGATTTAAGAAAAGCATATTTTTCCTCCTTTATAACAATGACAAATCGTTTTAACTCCATTTCTAAATCCTCAGAATCATCAAGCTTTATTTGCAAACTTTTGCAATATACAGACAGATACTTTGTATTGCAAGTTTTGATAAGACTCTTGAATCGGTAAAGAAAGTCAAAAAGCTTTGTGACAATGCTGATCTGTTCAAAACGCTCTTTTACTGATGCAATTGACATATCAATTAGTGGCTAAAAGAAATCAACTTTATATTGATGTTTAGGTTACCGAGTGTGATCAACACACTCGTATGAATAAATTGATTTTTTTTTTCATAAACGCACTATTGAAAAACCATTTCTATGCCTAATAATTCTGTGATTTCTGACGCCTTAATACATACGTCAGAAAATCCATTTTCACGATACTCATAAAGAAATGCATTTTTCGCCTTTATTTCTCAAGCTAAGATGTCGAGAAAGACATTGCAGGAGACTGAAGCAGCTTACTTGATTTTTTGATTTGAAAAATAACGTTATACCCAACAATGGTTGATAATCTGAAAGGCCATGTTCTAATATATTTTGTCAGTGATCATACTTCTGTCGCTGTTGCTCCGTCTCTCTTTTTTAAGGCATGTTCTTTCAATCTTTCAAGTGCCTTTAAGATTTCTTTTTAATAATAGCGAAGTGGTTTAACACAGTTTATTCTACTTTCCTATCTGGTAATCACTAATTGTGATTTGACAGAAGTTGCCGTTCACGAATTTAAAATTTCCCATCGAGGAGGAGGCGATGAAAAAAGTGTATATAACCTTGAAAGAACACCAAAAAAACAAATTGCATTGATGGATGACAGTGCACCATCAACAATAACAAGATTGAGTGAATAGTTTGCACAAGAAACATATAAGGCTTTTGGATTCATTTTCAGAAACCTTGCTTGAACACCTTTTACTTTTACTTTCATATTGGCACCATTATCAAAAGATTGACCTCGACATTTTGAAGTTATGATTGAAAATTGCATCAAAAAGCCCTTTTCCAGTGGTTTCATTTACTGTGAGATATCCAAAAAATTTTTCGGAAATGTTAATACCTACTCCAGAAGTACATGTTACTGATCGCAAAATAATGCCCATTTGTTCTTTGTGCGAAACGTCTGGCGTACAATCTAAAACAATGGAATAGTATTTTGCCTTTTTTACCCTAAATAGGTTTTTGGATTCAACCGCCTTGGCTAAAAGTCTAATCAACTCGTTCTGTGTGTCATTGTTCAAATAGTACTCCTTGGTATCTTTGTCCTGAATTCTTTGCATAAGCTCATTAAGAACAGTATTGTACTTAGCCAGTAATTCAAACACCCCAAGAAAGTTTCCAATGCTCTTTAAACCAATGGTTGTGCCTCAACCACGGAATGCAAAATTTCTTGCAGAATGAAATAAGGTAATTTCAAGTATTCTTTCTGACACAAAATTTCTCCAAAATGTCCGCTCTTTATGAAGCAACTTTTGTTGTTGCTTGTCTATGGGAGCTTGATTTGCTATACTTGCATTACTAAAATTGAGGAAAAAACAGTTAAATTAGAATAAAAATGTAACAAAACAAAACAATAAAAAGAATTATCAGTTAACCTTTTTGTAAAATCATCTATTGTTCAACGCACTTAAAATGTGCATTGCATGTTTCGTGTTTTTTAAATTTTTTTGATAAGCCTTTCCAAGTGTTCATTTCTTGTCGGAATGGTGAAGAAGTTATTCCAAAAAATTTGCAACAAAAACAAAACACTTTATTGCTATTCAAAAAATATATGAGCCATGTCCGTTCAAAAATTTCTCCATTCTTCATCTTGCGATTATAATAATTTATTGAAAATAGTCTTCATTCTAAAATGTATGGAAAATCAATATCAATCTTTTTGAAACCTCGTTTAACAATGTCACACCTCTGTGCGTCAGAAACATTATCTGGCCACTCAGAGGGATCATCCTTGAGAAAAATAGGTTTAATGGTTTTTCATTAACAGTTTGACATGTTTTTATAAAGCTTGCGATTTATAATAAAATTTGGACCTCGGGAGTGTTAATCCTTTAACAGTCCCGAGTTGTTTTTAAAATATCTAAATGTCCAGTGTTTTTAAATTATTATTTTTTTTTTTTACTAATAAGATAAAAAAAGCTTATTACTATTATTAAACACTGCAAAATGTTATTATTCAAATTTAAGAATATATAAATCATACTGCATAACAAAAAATTTTATAAATGTGTTTACTAATATTCCCTTTTTGTATGATAGTTGGAAAAGCATGGTGCTGCTTTTCTAATTATCATACCACACACCTTCATTGAGAATAACCTTTTTTTATCATTTTTAATAATCATTCATCAAACATATTTTTTCATTATTGATTCATCAAATGTATAATTTTCTTTCTTTTCGTGAGAAAATATTTACTTACTAAATATGAACAAGATGAACAACTAGGAGATATAAGGAGATACATAAAACCGTAATAATACTGCAAGGGCATTTGGGAACTACTTTTATTTTGCTTAATATTAAGGCATGGACATTAAGAAACCACTTAAAGTTTGCGTTATTGTACGGTTTGGACTGGTATCGAGTTTAAACTTTTTTTTTTTTTTTTTTGCATGAAAAATATTATTGCTTTTATTACGCTTGCATAATTTAGGTAATATCGTGATTAAAAGGCCAAGTTTTTTATTAATAGTTACAGTAACAATATATATTTCAATAATTTTATTATAAAAAATAAAAATTAAAAAATTTTAAACTTTCGATAAGTACCCCTACAAATGCTGCCCCCCCCTCAATTGGGGTGTGTGAGGGAGCCTAGCCACTGCTCTGATACCATTATTATTCAACCAAGGTTTATTTGGAACTGTAAATTTAAAGATTTTAAAAAAAGCCTGATTAATTTTATTTCCACAACATATTATGGCTTTGACTTGAGCCGATGATTCCTTTATTGATTGGATCGTAATTCTAATTTGTTCGAGAAATTAAAAGTTTAATATACTTATAGGTATCATTTCGGAAATGAAAGATGGTCCCCCGAGTAAGCAATTAACCATTAAACCCAATACAATTTTTGCAAGTGAAGTTGAATCGTCCATTGCTTTTCCGAACAATGTACCACCATGATATAATAATATTTTTTTAACATAAACCTCGTCATGCAATAACAAACAAATTTTCTGTTTTTCTTCAATAGATTGAAAAATATCAGTGAAAAAAAGTTTTTCGTTCAATTTAGAAACTTTTTAAGTTATTTTGTCAAAGTTCTTACAAAAGGCAATTGGTAATCTATTCGCAATTGATTATACAAACTTCTGGATGTAGAAAAATACTGAAAAGATCTAATAATAATTTCTTTAGAATAAATCTTATTTTCAACACACTGTGTACCCATAGAAGCTAAATGTTCTTGAATTACAATTTCTTTTTTTCCAGGAATCAAACTCTTTAAATAACGTTAAACTTTTTCAAATATTGATTATGCATTAAATTTTAAAACTCTGTTTTTAGAAATTGTACGAAATTTAATTTTGACTTCATAGTGATAAGTTTCAAAATATAAATTGTCTCTAATCTTGATTAAAAAATATGGAACCTATTTAAATAAGCTTGTGATTGCAAATGAATAATTCTATTATTCATAAAACATACTGATGGAACACCTAAATCTCTTTCATGACATAGAAGAATTTCTTTCATTTCAGCAAAAGTTACTCTATCTTTTTCTAAAAAGTTCATCTTAAATTCCGTACACTTTTTACGGCCGTGGCGCAGTGGTTAGAGCGCTTGCTTTACAAGCAAGAGATCCAGGTTCGAAACGAGCTTTGGAAATATCTTTTATCACGGTAAGGAAGGAGGCGTGAACTTTCTGGTTACGCAGTGCTCTGTGACAAGCCCGTTAGGTCTTCTTGGGGCACCTAAAATAACAAAAAAAAAAAAAAAAAAAAACTTAAAGAGGCACAATTTGTTGAACGTAATGGAGGAGGTTGAGTGGGAATTAGGCAAGACGGTATGCCTGGCCAAACAGATGGTGGAAATTTAGGATGATATTTTCATCTAACTTGTTGTTTTTCAAAGTTTATTGGCCAATGCAACTCACACACGGCTGTTTCAGAGTGGACATACGGCTTCTGGTTATTTTTTGAAAATAATTACTTAAGGGGTGTTACTAAAACTTTTATAACTTTTGAAATATTAAAGATAAATACGTTCTGTAAAAATAATACGAACACCGACTAAATGTTTTATATTTTATCATTCAATATAATAATCCAAGGCTGCTCTTATTTTTAAAAAAACGCGCAAATTGACGAACTTGGTAGATATTCAAAACTTTAATAGTACTTTATAGCAAAAATAATCAGAAAACTTATAATTTTGTTGACTAATTTGTAGTATAAACATAGTTAGACCAATTATAAAACATATTAAAATTATTTACACCGAATGCGAACAGGCACTACAATAGGCGGTAAAATGCGGTAGTGGTGTAGTGGTAAGAGCGCTCGCTTTGTAAGCGAGAAGTTCGGAGTTCGACTTCCACGACGTCCCTGGATTTAACGCGCTCAACTTAATTTTTCCGCGCAGCGACCTTGCTTGTCAAGGTTCGTTTTTCGGAGTTAAAGAGTTGAGAAAGGGTTGTACCACGATTTACAAAAAAAAATAAAATTAAAAAAAAAAATAAATTAGTAGCCTCCTCGACTGTAGTGGCCCCCTTGGGCCTTTGAAAGGTGAATAATTAAAAAAATAAATTAAAATAAATAGAAAATAGGCGAAATAAAAAAATCGCAAAATACTTTTTTTTAAAAAAAAAAAAGATTTAATACAAACAAAAAGGGTAGCAAATTATTTTTGCTTTCGGTCGTAGAATAATTTCCTGATCAATATTACAATATTAATACTTTTCTGTACTACAATATTAATACTTTTCTGTAGAAAAATAACACATTTTTATTTAAATATACATAACAATATAAGCAATTTAAATAATTTGATAACTCATTTTGGTGGATTGAAATAAATAATTTTTTTTTTGGTAATATATTTATATATGTTCTATAAGTAGCAAACGATCTTTGCATGCAATTGATACTAGTTTTATTTCCATTTCACATGGAAAATAACTTCGACCATATAAACTGAGTTTATATGGTCGAAGGAAAATACCGCCAAAGTTTGTTTCATTTATACACTAAAATTTGTCTCGCTAAAAAAGCTGTTTTATTAAATTTAATTTCATAGTGAATTGGGAAGTAACATATTTAAAGTTACGTCATTGCTTTAAAACACAAACAAAAATTTTACGCATGTAACTACAAATATTGTTGCTAAACCTGCCAAGGTTAAAGTCGTTTTAGCTAGAAGTACAGAAAGTAATTTTTTTGATTTTCATGTGCATAAAGGGTTGAAATTTCAATAATTTGGAGGGCATAAAAAAATTGAATATTTGTGTCAAAAACGTGTTTTGTGAGGCTGTATTGTGTGGGCATTATAATAGCAAATTTTCTAACAAAATTAGTTAAAAGTTGAGCTTTTTAAAATGTAACTATAATCAGTGGCGTATAAAGTTTATAAATTGTTTGAAATAACAAACTTTATAACAAAAAAAATATTCCAAACGTTTTTGCGTTCTTATGTATCACAAAAATATTCGTCACAAAAAAAAAAACTACTCTGATAGAAGAATGGGAACAAGAAAACCTAAAATTTTAGCCCCGAAACTTGAGAGCAACAAGTCAATGAAATATTTGCTTATTAAACTCAAAGATTGTAACATAGCAACAATTGCAACTGAGCGAAAGTTGAATACAAATACTGTTAAAGTCAAATATAACGCACTGAAGAAAGTATTAGATGGCATCTCAAAGTCAAAGGTCGCTTTAAAACATAATATATCAAAGAACACCTTGTCTACCTGGTTGAGAAACAAGGAAAAGATTTTTGATGCTGTGGAGAAAAGAAAAAACCCAAAAGTCAATATATGAGGAAAGGGTCATTTGCAAATTTGGCTCATTTTCAAATGACTTCCGCTTGTTTTTAACAGAGATGCCTCTGTATCTGCTTTAACTCTCAAAAGTAAATTACTACCATGAACTTTTTAATTCTCAAAACTAAATTACTGCATGGTACTACCATTTCACTAGTACACGCTAATGCGTGTACTAGTGAAATGGTAGCACCATGAAGGAAACCACGTTACAAACCATTTTATCAAAATATAAGTTGAATCAGATTTATAATGCTGACGAATTTGGCTTTTTTATTGGTTCCAACCAAATAAATCTTTACATTTTTTTAAAATGAAAAATGTGTTGGTGGGAAACACAGCAAACTACGTTTTACAGGATTGACATCTGTGAATGCATTAGGGAAAAAATTGCCAATGATTGTTATTGGCAAAGCTAAATCGCCCAGATACTTTAAAAATGTAAAGCATTTACCCTGCATTTAATTCAGGTAGAAGAAAAGTTAAAAAGATGGCACACTATTTCAGAGAAAATGTGTTTTGACGCCTCGATAGATCCCCTTTGAGGATCTCATGAACCAGTTAAAAAAGCTTGCTGTTCATTCATCCGAGTTCTTCCCTGAAGGAACAATAGCAAAAAATGTTGTTTACATGGATGATTTTGTAAACACTGCCGAGCCGATAATGAATGATAAGGAGATTATATCAGACGTTTTTGGAAAATAAAATTTTGACGCTGAAAAAGATGAAGATAGTGATGTAGATTTTGTATTGAGAGATTGTAGATTGAACCAACTTGCCCTCAATCGGGTGATGTCCGTCATGCCCTGGAAGTACTACAAACCTAGTGGGCACTGTCGCGCTCACTAGCGCGGCAACGACTTCTTGTTATTTGTGTTATATTGTCAGCGGTTAATCCCACGCTTTCTCTCTAACTCTTACTCTGCTTATACGCGAACGTTGTAATTTCTTGAGCACGTTTTTACATTATTGTACATTATTATACAAGAATATATTAGTATACAAATTAAAACAGTATGGTTTGTGAATGAACCACACAATTTGGAGCCCACGGAAAATAAATATTGACATTTGAATACAAAGATTCAAAAGATTTAAACAGATTAAAAGATTAAAGAACAAGAAAAAAGTTAAGTTTTATTTACATTTATTTACTATTTACTTGTTATTATAAATTATAATACTTAAGATTATTGTATTAAGTATTAAGGAGTATTAAGTGAACATTTTGAGCTTATCATTGTATCGAACATTTATAAAGTTATTATATTACCAATCATTAAGATTTAAGTAAGAATATATAATATTTGTCACTTTAGTAATTATTTACCCAATCAGGAAGGATTTGGGACAGTTAACGTTTTGCAAATAAATATCTGTAAGTTTTATTTTTCAAAAAATGTCAACTATTCAAGGCAAACGTAGAATTAGAACAGTTAACATAAAACTTTTAAACAAATTATTCGAAAAATCTTTAGAAATTATTAACAACACTGACGATGAAAACCAGTTTAGTAACCTTAGTGACTTAAAAGACACTTTAAACGAAAAATACAATAAAGTCATCCAATTGGATGAAGAGATAACCTTACTGATTGAGGATGAGGACGAGTTAGAAAATGAATTAGAATCTTCTACAGAATTTAATCTAGTATTCAAAAGTGAAATTTCTAAAATTAATAAAGAGTTGAAGAAATTCGACATTAAAACTGACTGCAATAGTACATTTAGTAACTTTAAAAACAAGACAGTAAAATTACCTGTTTTAAAATTAGATAATTTTGATGGAGAACCTGAAAAGTGGACATCTTTTATAGAAAATTTTGAATGTGCTATAGATATGAACAATGATCTGTCAGGAATTCAAAAAATGACTTATCTTCGAAACTTGCTAAAAGGTTCAGCTTTGTCATCTATTTCAGGTCTCAGTTTATCCAATGAAAACTACAAAATAGCTTTAGACATCCTTAAAGAGCGTTATGAAAATAAGCAGAATATGATATCATCCCACATGAGAAAACTACTGTCATTTGAAAGAGTGCATAGTTAAAATAAAATTGAAAAATTAAGACATTTATTAGATAATATAGAAATACAAATAAGGAGCCTCGAAACTCTTAAAATTACAAGTGAAATGTATGGACCATTACTTGTTCCAATAATACTACAGAAAATACCTGAAGAACTGAACTTAATTATAAACAGACAACTTGATAAAAACAGTTCATGGGATGTCTTAACCATCATTAACATTTTAAAATCAGAATTACGTGCAAGAGAACAAGTCTCATTAAATTTAAATAACAGTGTTGATAAAACTTATACAACTGAAACATTTTTTACAAGTAACAATAACTATGAAAAATCAAATTTTAACAGAAACCCTCGTCAATTTAATTACAGTAAGAAAGCTAAAGAAAATTCATACTTTGATAGAAATAATCCAACCAATATACCACAATTTATCAAATGCCTTTTTTGTGACAGATCACATAAATCACAATACTGCAAATTCATAACAGACATTCAAAATAGAAAACGAATAATTAGTGAAAAACATCTGTGTTTTAAATGTTTAAGAAGTGGTCATACATCAAAGAATTGTACATCTAATATCAAATGTTTTAAATGTGGTAATCAGCATCATATAGCACTTTGTCTAGAAAAACAGAATAGTGAATTACAAAAAGGTGAACTAACAGCCATTTCAAGTAACAATAATCAGTCCATTTTACTCCAAACTGCTTCCACT